AAGATGTTTAGCAGCATCTCTGGACCACACCCAATAGATGCAGTTGTGACAACCAAAGATATCTCCAGATATTGCCAAATGTCCCCTGGAAGTGGACAGGGGGAAGAAAAATTGCCCTCAGTTGAGAATTGCTGCTTTGAAGTGTAAGATGTCATATAAGTATATTTTAAAGTACTTTCTGCTAACCAATTAGATTAACTCAGAGAATTTAAGGTATTTATTTGACATTCCAGTACTTACAAGGGAATTGTGACTTATTACACATATGATATAAACAGTTAATACAATATATGACATACACGATTTAAAGTGAATAATGTTTGGCTTATCCCAGATGATATTAAACAAATTTTCACCCTTTCACTTCATTGAATTTTAAGGTTTCTATGTGTATTTTACAAGGCTATTTTGATCTTGGATTTGAAAATGGTCAAGAGAAACTGCTGGTGGAAAAAAATAATGTTCCAGTAGAGAACTATGAATTAATATTCTTTCAGCCATTCAATAAATATTTCATTATTGACAATAAAGTGTTTATAAGTGACAAGCTGGCTGCATTTTTAGGCATTAATCCTTTAGACAAAAACTTATCAATATATAGCTCTAATCAAGCAATGCTGTAGTGTAGTTAGACCTATGCCTATTTAGGCTTTCCCTAAGAAGGAGAAGAGAGAAAAGTAAATGTAAGCCCACAGTTTATGTTACCAGGAGTGTAATTTGTTACATACTCTTGGACTTAGGTGCAAATTCTTGTCCAGATGTCTTGGATCAACTACAAACTAGAGGTCAAACACAATTGAATATGCTACTTAACATTTTAAAAAAATTACTGCTAATTAATCATTACTTTCAACTAGTACATTTTTCCAAATTTAAACTTATAAAAATTTTCCTCCACTTAACAAAATAAACAATTTTGTATCATTTTAAAATGTCACTTCAAAAAATAGCTGATGAATAATAATAGAATAACAAAATATCCTAATGACTTAAAATTAGACCAATATTTTAATTGTAATACTCTTTTGCCACTTAATTTCACAGTGCCAGGAAATCTACAAAACATTTTTCAAATGGTATTTGTTCTCAGAAGTTCACAATAAAAAGGTTTCTCTGTTCTTTGTTATAAGGTGCATGATGGCAGGGGACGAATGCAGGAAATACAGCAATCTACCTTAGGAGTTTATGAGGATACTTAGTACTTGAAAAATAGAATTCTGAATTCATTCCATAATCTGAAGATCTGGACTGTCCAATACATAAACAAACATACATCTATATTTATGCATATGGTATCACTCTGAAAGTCAGAATACCAAACTAATGAATGAACGTTTGAGTGTGAATTTTTAATACTGTAATTTCAGAAACTGTAAAATGCCTTTTTAAAACTTTATAGGTTGTTTTTACATTACTAAAAACAATAGCGTTCTCAAAATAAAAACCAGCTGTCACCGGTAACACTCAGCTTTAAGACACAGGAAAGGGAACCCAAGATCTCTTCCCCCAAACTCCAAACTGACACTCACAAAAGACCGGGGATTCATTGTCTTCCTGCCCATGGCTCTCAGCTGCAGCACCGATGTCTTGAACAAGGAAATCAGATAGATGCAATTACTACATTCTGAAAATTTCTGACTATGTGAAATTGCATGGGAAAGAAAACAAAACCACATCATTTTAAAAAAGACGTCTGACTTAGGAAAAGTCAAATATAAGACAAGATTTGAACCCAGAGGTAAGGAAGTATTGCCTTTTAAGCACCTCACTCCTCTGGAAAACATTGTGAGCTACAATTCAGCAGGTGTAACCAGGATTCCACGTGTCTCTCTAGCTAGAGAGGAAAATCAGTAGGGGCAGAACGAGGGGCGAGACCCCCTTATGCGCAGAAGTCCCACACTGAACTCCAGAAACTCCTGGTGTGAACTTCCCAGCTCTCTGGGAACACTTTGCCTAACGCCAGCACCCAACAAGCATCGCCTTCTACATGCTCCCCCCACCCCCACCTCATTTTTCTCATAAACTAAAACTCTCACTCTAGAGAAAGCCGAATAGAGGTCTACGGATTTCCAGTAAGAACCGAGCGTTCGTCCAGGACCTCATGTCTGGATCTACTCGCTGCAAACCACTGGTGGGAAGCTGCAACGCCGTCTGGGACAGGCCCGAGGTCAAAGACTGCCACCGCGCTCTCTCGATCTCCAGGTCAAGTGCAAAAGGAAAATAAAGTGTGGAGTGAGGGGTGAGGGGCTGCCTAGAGGGTTGACACAAAGCCCCAAAATGGTTTAAAAAAAAATTAAATCTGTCCGCAAAATTAAGAAAGGCCAACCCAAAGGTGTATCTTTCACCTGGCAAACCCGGGAGGTAAGGGTGGGGTGAGGATCCCCGCTGGCTCCACCACAGGGTTATGTCTCAGGATTGGAGCTTCTCCCTCTGGATTGGGGGCTCGGCTCACGTACTTTTTTCTTATTGCTTGCCCTTCTTCGTGTGAAGCCGGCGAACAAATAAGTGATGCCAAGGTGCCCTGGCGCCGTTTATTTCCTTTGAGTTAAAATTACATCCAGTCCCTTGCGATGGCCAAGCTGGGATCCCCTGACAGTAGCCCCACCCCCGGCCTCCAGGCACTCCTCGGGCTCTTCCCGCTCGCCGGGCGACCAGACGCCGCCGGATTCAGCCGCGCGCAGTCCGCGCGACCCTGCTCCGGCGGCTCCCAGGCAGCCACCCCAGATTCTGGATCCCTGTCGCCCGCGAGCCTCACCCACGCAGACGCCAAAGCGCCCTCTTAGTTAATGTTTGCAGAAGCGTTGTCCAAGCAATGGGCCACGGGATAAGCATTCCCATCTCCTGGGTGGGACGCCTCGACTAAGAAAAGGAACACGACTAAGACTGAGACCGAAGAGTTAGGGTCTCCCCGAAGGCGCCACTTCCAAACCCCGTAGCCAAAGGGCGAGGGGGCGGAGCGGCACCCACGACCTCTCCACTGCCTGCGGCTCGGCGCCGGGGTGGTGTCCGCTGCGGCTCACGGGCTGTCAGGTCCCCCAGCGGACCCGCGGCCTCTTCGGAGCGCGCCCGGCGAGCGCGTAGCGATTCTGCCAGCGAGAGCGGGCAGGGAACCATCCCGAGAGAGAAAATAGGCCTCCACGCACTGGAGCGTGGGGCTGCATCCCTGCCCCAGCCAGCGGCTCCGGGGTCGCAGCCCTCCCGGGATCCGGTTTCATTCCTGCCCCGGTCCCCGAGGCCCTCGGGCCTCCAGTGCGGCGCGAATTCGCCTCCGCCTTCGAGTTCTGGGGCCTTGTACGCGATGTTTCTCACTCAAGTTGTCCTTCCGGCTGATTCGGAAGTCGCTCCAAGCGAGAGGTTTATGCTTTGTCATTATCTTCATCGCCCTCTTTATTTTGCCCCTGCCCTGTCGCATTTCAAGAAAAAAGAGCTCCTAGGAAAGAAAGCCTCTCCGTTGAGGCGGCTGGCGATCTCACAGAAATGATGTAAATGGTTGCAGGGCTTTTGCCCCCCCCCCCCCCCCCCCCCCCCCCCCGCTATTTCTTTTCGAGTGAACTGTGAAGATCTCTGAAAATAATATCAGGGTTTTCCGTCAGAACGAGCTTTGCCCTGCACTCAGGCGTGGCATGATCTGACCCGACACCTCCAACCATCTGTGCTATCTATCTGCCTTCTGATTTACCAGATCTGTACAAGCCGCATACAAATTGTACTTGATACTAAAGAAAAGACAGCCGGGCCCAGTTCAGTTCGGCGGCGAACATTCCCATCTGATTCCTTTCTGGGATGGGCCTCCCCCAAAAAACCGGTTTCCCCGGCGTTTTCCTTAGATACCCCCTACCAGTTATTTTATTCAAACAAAATAAACCCTTATCAAAGGCCCAAGATGAGATCGTGGTTTCTTTGACTCGAGGCCTCAGAAAACGGTATGATGTGGACTGTTGACTAGGAATCAATAAAAGTTGCCAATTCAATCTACTGGCCCAAAGTCAGAGCTACAGAGAAGGCCCTTCCTCTCCGCAGGAGGGGTCAGTGTTCAGCGGCTTAGGAAACGCTCCGTAGGCCGCTGGCATTGTTGTGCGTCGGCCTTCTCTTATTTTATTTTTACTGAATTGCTTTTGGGCTAAAAAGCTAAGGGTGGAGTTTCTATCCCCAGCTCAAGAGTTAGGTATTCTAACACAGGGTAGGGGCAAATTAAGCCTGCAGGAAGAGGTGCAAATCGATATTTTTAAACAGATCTTGGAAATAAGCTTTTAAGTTGCTGTCCTGACCTACCAATGACTTCCCGCTCTGGATGTGGCAATACCGCACGTTTGTTCAAGTCCATTAAACTGCCGCGGGAGGGGGGCGGGTTAAAAAGTATAATACCGTATTTATCTGGATGAGAG